CTATGCCATGGAGCCCATTCGTGTACTTAAAGACTTCGGCTCCATGGCAATTGAACTGTGTGAATAGGATCTGAGCGCTCTTCGGTAGTTTTGTGCGCTCAGATCCCAGCTACCTGGGGATATGTGAAATGTGTAAAAGGTGACTTTATGTATTTTAAAGTGTTTTATGTCTTTTTGCAACCATGTGCTAAATGGAGTCTGCCTCTAACCCTGGATAATTGGATTACTTTCCCCCATTGTCTCCAGGATAGAGGGCTCTGGAAAACCTGTTTGAGCCAGATAGCCATGTGCCAGCCAGGGCCCAAAAGATACTTTTATTAACTTTTGAACCCCTGGTCGGATTCATGCCATTTTTTTAATATGTTGTTCCGCTGAATGGATTGATTGTGAATATGTAATTTTATGTGAATGTGATGTATGGTTTTAAAGTTATGAAAGTTGGGTAGAAAGTATGTTTTAACTGTATGTGTAATTGAGTTTCCTCTCAGGATAAGGGGAGGGAATATGTGGGATGTAACTGATATGTGATTGGTTGTTTTATACCTCCCTGTGGGCGGTCCTGTATGTGAAAGACTGTAACAAAAACCAGGCTGGGTGTGCCAGCACAGGAGTTCCTGTTTTAACCCTCAAAGTGAAGTGTTGTCTCATTATTGGGGGAAGGATTCATGGTATGCTGTTCCAGTTTGACTGCTAGGAGAGTAAACCTATTCGTATGGTTCCTATTCAACTGTCTACAGCATTCATATGCTTGCAAGCATTCATATGCTCCTACGGTTCGGTGGTTTTGGTGTCTACTGCAGTGCTTGGAGTCCTCAGGAAGCGCTAGGAGCATCCTTCAACGGAGCTACCCAGTCGGGGTGCCAGGTGATCCGTTACACTGCCCATGTCGGAAAATAAAACAGTTATCTTGACTGTAGTTGATAGGTTTAGCAAGATGGCACACTTTATTTCTTTGCCTAAATTGCCTTCTTCTCCTGAACTGGCTACTATATTCGCTAGGGAAGTTTTTCGTGTTCCAAAAGAGATAATCTCTGATAGAGGCTCGCAGTTTATAAAGTGCAAATGGGTATCACCCTTAATTTTTCCTCGGCCTATCATCCACAATCTAATGGCAGCTGAAAGGACCAATCAAAGGATTGAGCAGTACGTGAGGTGTTTTGTTTCTAAGCATCAGGATGACTGGGTTGGTCTACTCCCGTGGGCTGAGTTTGCCTTGAACAATGTGGTTTCTGATGCCACGCAAAAGAGTCCTTTTTTCTTAAATTATGGTTTTCATCCCGTAGTTCTCCCGTCGGAAGTTCCGTCACAAAGACTCCCAACGGTTGATGAGCACACTGAAAATCTAAGGAAGATATGGGAGGAGACTCAACTTCTCCTGTCTCACAAAGCATACCTAGATAAAAAGTTCACTGATGCTCATAGGCTGCCTGCTCCTGTGTATCATCCGGGTGATAAAGTCTGGCTCAGTACCAGGCATATTCGTCTTAAAGTTCCGTCATTAAAATTTGCACCCAGATTCATAGGTCCTTACCCAATACTCAGGTGTATTAATCCAGTGGCATATCGTCTTGCACTACCACCTGCCCTACGAATTCCTGACGTTTTCCATGTATCATTATTGAAATCTTTAATGTGCAATAAGTTTTCTAGACGTATAAGTCCTCCTTCCCCGGTCCAGGTGAAGGGTCAGGAAAAATGTATTGTACAGTCTATACTTGACTCCAGGTTTTCAAGGGGCAAACTTCAATATCTTGTGGATTGGAAGGGTTATGGTCCTGAGGTCTCTGCTTCTGACGTCCATGCTCTGCGCTTGATTCGCGCTTTTCACTCCAAGTTTCCCTCACGTCCAGGTTGTTTCCGCCCAGGGGGCGGTCCTCGAGGGGGGGTAATGTCAGGGTACCTTTTGTAGAGACTCAGAAGTCTGGTCACAGTGGATTTCATCTGCAGGACTCTGGGGAAATGACCTGGCAATCTTCCAGCAACTTTAGTCATTTTCGCGCCGGCCGTGATAGCCCCGCCCCTTTTATGATGCGAAAAATGGGCGGAGTCAAAATGCACCAAAAAACCTGTGACGGAACGCTGGCACTCCGACTGAGTACCTCCGCCAATCGATGCTCTTAGTGCTCGCTGAGGACTCCAAGCACTCCAACTGACACCATCAGCACTGCAGACCCCACTTCCAGCGATGCAACTGCGCCGGGGTCTCTGCTGTTTCCACCCACCCTGGACCCAAGGCCAGGATCCAGCTTCCAGTGGGTGAACCTCTCTTTCCCCAGAGAGCAGGAACAGGAACAAATCAAGCTATTGCAAGAGCTTCCTCTGGGGAGTAAGTGATTATAGCAATCCCCAGAGTGTAGGTATCCCTTCCCCCAAACATGAGCCAAGGCTTAATGCTGGAACAAGACTGATTTACTGGCATACAGAACTCACAATTTATGCAACACAGATTCTGCAGAACATATACAGGCTAACTGAAAAACAATCACTTTATAATGTGTCCCCTGCTGTATAGTCCAAAACCACTGCACGATGTCTCTGTGCACCAAATACTGGCAAGATGGCACCGTGTTAAAAAGTCCAAACAGTGTCTGTGAGTTAAAATGGCTGCCATCCATTGTTCTCACCATGTGCTTCTGATACAGGAAATGGTGGCCACCCAGTAACTCCACAGTATGTCCCCAGATGGTTCTTAAAGGGCCAGCAGCAGCACAACACAAATCCATTATGCCCAAATCATGTCTATAAAGGGCAATACATCCCAGGGGCCATAGTCACAGGGCAAGAGGCGGGCAAGCAGTCCTCTCCAGGCACAAGTGGCGAAGGGCACTTCGTCACACATCTTCCCTTTGGGGGGAAGACTAAACAGGTACCTGACCTTCTGCCGGTCAGTACCTAGATTAGTCGGGCAGCCCACCCACAAAGAAAAATACACAGAGTAACCCCCCCACAATAAATGGTACTGGTCTGTAGGTTCAAGTTTGTAGTGGGACAGCGCAGCACTCTCGGTCTCCCTGGTGCAGTTAGGCAAACTGCTGGTGTTGCTTGGGGGGCAGAGGCCAGCGGCGCTCTGCCCTGCTGCCAGCTCTTCCACTGGGGTAACCCGTGGTAAGTCAGGCTCTGATACAGGGGAAAAGGGGGGGGCGAGGCTAACAGAGCTCTGCCCAGATGCCAGCTCTTCTGTTGGGAGGGGGTCAGTGGGTATCGCAGGCTCATCCACTGCCCCCAGGACCCGGTTGGGATGTAGCTGGGGAGGGGAAGTTTTGCTTACCTCCTCCTCCTGGCATCCCTGCGGGGTTGGTTGGGGATCTGGACCGCCCGTCCAGCCTCCCTGTAGGACTGGCACAGAGACCGCGGTCCCATCTGCGCCAGTGTGGTTAGGTTTGTCTTCCCTCTCTCCCGGTTATTCTGGCTGCTGTTGGAGGGGGAGGCTGGTTGCCCCCACTCCCCAGGACGCTGGTTGCTGTAAGGTGGAGGGATCGACCATCACCTCCTCCTGGAACTCAGGCCGCCGCTGGGGAGAGAGACCAGTTGTCTCCTCTCCCTGTATATTATACTGACTGCCCAGCATCCCTGTAGGGCCGGCAGAGAGACTTCGGTCCCATCTCCCCTGGCCATCTCTGTGTGTCCCCAGGACAAGTCTATGAGGTCACCCACCTCGGGCTGCTGTTGGAGAGGGAGGCAGGTTGCCTCCCCTCCCCAGGACGCTGGTTGCTGTATGGGGGAGGGATCTACCATCACCTCCTCCTGGAACTCAGACTGCTGCTGGGAAGGGAGACCGGTTGTCTCCTCTCCCTGTGAGATACACTGCCGCTGGGGATCTGGGCCGGGTACCCAGCATCCCTGTGGGGCAGGTGGAGAGACCTCGGTTCCATCTCCACCTGCTATCTGTGGGTCTTCCCAGGACCGTTCCATAAGGTTGCTCACCTCTGGGGCTGGTTGGACAGAAGAGGGTAGGGTGTCCAGGTAATCCTCTGGGCTGAGGGACGGTGATTGGGCCAAGTTGAACAGGCGTCGGTAGCTCTGCTCCAGCCCCCACTCCATTGCGACCAGATGACTCAGGTCTGGCCCCAGGTCGTCCGCTCGGGGAAGATCCAGCAGGGTTTCCCTGATGTTGTGGATGTCCCAGAACCGAAACTCTGTGGGGCATCCAAAGTCATCACCCTCCTCATAGGCCTCCCACAGTAAGCCCGGGCCATTATAATCCTCTCCCTCGGGCAGATAGTGGTTAGTCATCGAGGGGCTGTGCTGGGTGGCGTACCACTTTAATGCCCGGTAAGCTGCATCTAGCCACAACTCCTTCCAAATTAAATCCCAGAGTTCCAACAACCATTCATCCAAGGGTTGCTCCCCTAGGAAAGGGGAGCGCAGGGCCTTGAGTACCTGGAACCGCTGCTCGTCACTGGGAAGGCTCTCTCCCCGCCGCGGTTGTACCTTTTCCAGGGCATCGTGCCACATCTCCGTACGAGTGACATCTCTCCAGTCCAGTATGCACTCCTCTGATACAGGATCCAGCTTCCAGTGGGTGAACCTCTCTTTCCCCAGAGAGCAGGAACAGGAACAAATCAAGCTATTGCAAGAGCTTCCTCTGGGGAGTAAGTTATTATAGCAATCCCCAGAGTGTAGGTATCCCTTCCCCCAAACATGAGCCAAGGCTTAATGCTGGAACAAGACTGATTTACTGGCATACAGAACTCACAATTTATGCAACACAAAACTCCTCCTCTGGGCCAGGCTAGATAATTGAGTTTCTACAATACACAAAACTCAATTATCTGCTGGCCAGAAATAATACAGTTTCATAAAACACACAGGGACCCCAAAACATGCAATAACCACATAAAACCACATAAAAAGTATATCCTTGGAACCGGGGGATCTGGGTGAACCACATATCCAAAATTCACCCAGATCCGTTCAGTACTTTGGAAAATACAGTTTAATGCAGATTCTGCAGAACATAAACAGGCTAACTGAAAAACAATCACTTTATAATGTGTCCCCTGCTGTATAGTCCAAAACCACTGCACGATGTCTCTGTGCACCAAATACTGGCAAGATGGCTCCGTGTTGAAAAGTCCAAACAGTGTCTGTGAGTTAAAATGGCCGCCATCCATTGTTCTCACCATGTGCTTCTGATACAGGAAATGGTGGCCACCCAGTAACTCCACAGTATGTCCCCAGATGGTTCTTGAAGGGCCAGCAGCAGCACAACACAAATCCATTATGCCCAAATCATGTCTATAAAGGGCAATACAAACCAGGGGCCATAGTCACAGGGCAAGAGGCGGGCAAGCAGTCCTCTCCAGGCACAAGTGGCGAAGGGCACTTCGTCACAAAACCCTAACGTTATTTTGGGGATGAACAAAAGTACTCTTAGGTTTGCATTGTTTAAACATTCTAAATCTGACGTGAGTTTATCTCCATCGTATGTAAGAAATAATCCAACCACTTTGCTAAGTACCTGGATTTCCATTGGTGAAGAGTTCTCAAGGAGATATTCACTACCAGCATCTCTGTTGCCTGGTACTGTCCAGATAACATCCCTTATTGATTCTTTGATTTTGTGTTATAGCTGGATCCATTGTGGTGAGGACATTCGTCTCTCCACATCCTCTTTCTTTTGGTCTTTCTTTTAACCAAGTAGATCTGTCAGCTCTTTGGTTAAAGTCTGGCTCAGTACCAGGCATATTAGTTGGTCACCTCTGTTTTATGAACAGGCCACCTATAAGTTCTCCTGATCCTCATGCCAGGTATAGATGTAGTCAAAAGTGTCTAGTTTAAATCAATACATTTTTCAGTTCGGTATGTCAGTCTAAAATTTCACTAAACCATTTTGAATATCAGATGCTAATTTTTCAACCTCCTTTTGTGACTCAAGTTCTTTAATTTGTTAGTTATCAGTTATCTGATTAATTTCGACTTTGATATCCACTAATTCATCATAGTGACCACCACAGGCAGTTTTTAACTATAGTTATAGCTAATTCTGTAGCAACTGAAATGTCTTGACCATTGCCATTTTGGTTGCATGTTGCCGCTCAGAATTTGGTTGTTAATCTGAATCAATGATCGCTCCAAATCCATCCAAAACATGGCTCTGCCGAAACCAAATCCATAACTTTATTAGGAATATAAGCATTAATTCCTTATTCTAGTGTGTTAGTCTACCTATTTAGAGGTCCACCCAGGAGAAAGATAATAATGAATTTTATCTTTTTTTTATTTCCCTGGTAGCCAGGTTTCTGAAAGTGCTTAGTAAGGAACTCAACTGCAGATATCGAAAAAAACATATGAGAAAATTATATATACTGTACTTATACTTGGTTCTGTAATATCAGGAAATATTTGATGGGAATCACTGAAATAAGTTTGATGTTGAAGTTTTGCAGTTCTCTTCAGGGAAATTCAGGGCCACCACGACACAAATCAGAGAAATCCAGAGCCATGGTGATGCATATGCCCAGGACTGACTTTAAGGGATTGCTGATGATTGGCCCTGTTGTGAAAAATAAATGTTACTGCTTTGTGGCTGAAAGCCATTTGTGGGATAGTTTCCCCATTATTGGGGGACAGTCAGATTAGAGATGTGGGACCAAATAAGCTAAGGTAGGCCACACACAAGATGGAGGCACCCTGTCATCGAAATCATCCCTCTGTGATGAACATATGAATACTATTCATATGTATATTACAGACTATTGTGACATTGAGTAGCTGAATTGCAGGTAAGGCACTCTGTAAAAATCAGATGATCACGCCACTGGGTGCCAGCTTAGTTCCCATTAAAACCATAGACCGTGGATGGGAATTAGAGAAGATGGAGTGTAAGACTGGCAGAGATCTGTGTGCAATGAATCTATGAGGTAAGTTACTTCTAGCAACATTAGGTAGAGCTCAAAGAAATGAAAATAATAGTAATAATATAATTAAATGCTCATTTTAATGTGGAAGCTATGGTTCTTAGGATGGTTGCTTGGCTCACAAGACTGCACAAGAATTCTAAGATCATGTTGCTTTATTTCAATACTGTTCTGAAATTACAACATTTTTCACCACCTTTGTCTTTGTAAAATTATGAGCACCAGAATTCATTATTTTAGTTTTATGGAAAGTAAAGAAGTAATGCCAGAATTTGTAATGCCAGTAATGCCACAGGAACAACTTGTATTGTTGGCACATGAAATAAGGACAAAACAAACATCCCTCAAACAAATACAACATCATAAATTAGAAACATGTGCATACGCAGATTGGGGTAGCAATAATCAGTTCTTTACTATTGTAAGTTTAATGTGCCCAGTTCTGTACTTTTCTAACAACATTGTTATGTCTCTAGGGAGAGTACCAGCAGCAGAACTACAATTGGACCCCCTCAGTGCAGTGCAGCTGAGTTGGCTCATTGGGTGAACCAGCAATTTAAGGCCACACAATGAGCATATGTCTTTAGGGGACCAGTCAGCAGTCAGTACTGCGGCCCTTTAACAGCCCTTTAATGATTGGAGCAATGGGAGTAAGTGACATCTCCCATTTAATGGGAGAAAGGCAGAGAAGATGGGGTGGAATTCAAGAGCCTGTGACTCCCAACAGCCTCAGCCAGCCAACTGGTCTCCAGGAAAGCCACCCTCCTGCACCCAAAGGGTAGAAAACAGAAGGGTGGCTAAAGAAATGTGTAAATTTTTCATGTGTGTATTTGTGTATCTGCATGTCTGCATGCTTACCTTTGTGTCTATATGTGTATCTGTGTATCTGTTTATCTACCTGGGTGTCTGTATGTGTATCTGTGTATCCAAACATCTTTCTGTTTGTTTGTATGTGTATCTTTATGTCTGTGTATCTGAATATCTGTATGTGTGTTTGTGTGTGTTTCTGTGTGTTTGCTTATCTTTATGTGTATTAGTGTGTGTCTTTGTATATACTTGTGTGACAATGAGTGCACCAGTGTATCTGCGTATCTGCATGTCTGTACCTGTGCATGTGTGTCAGTGTTTGCATATGTATATGTGTTAGTGTGTGTATCTGTTTATCTGCATGTGTGTCTTTATCTTGATGTGTCAGTGTTTGTCTGTATGTGCATGTGTATCTTTGTGTATGTATATGTGCGAACATGTCAGCATTCAAATGCCAATAGTGCACACAAAGACACCCCTACATTCAAAGGCAAACGCTACACAAATAACGACAGTACATAAAAACACACAACACTACACACAAATACTCCCCTACATTCACACACACATACTCTATATAAAAACAAGCTTAATCTAAAACTCACAAGCACTGCTCAGCGCTAAATACAATCCTGCAAGGATGGGCAAATTGTAGTCTAGCTGGCAAAGCATTATGGGAGTTGTACTAGATGGGGATCTACCCTTTTGCCATCCTTGCATTAAAAGGGGTCCAAAACAATTCTTGTATTAGGGTCTTCGCTAATTTAGTTCTGCCTCTTGTGAGTACCATCAGCGTGCCGGACATCAGTTTCACAAGAACATCTTGGTATCTTTGTAGGTGAAATTTGACATGTTATTTGTATATTCGTGCAATATGTCTATTCATTTTGATGTATATTGCATCTTTCTGTACACTGCTGTTATTTTAAAATTTTTGAATTAGTACTAATAAGATATGCATTCTAGCAAAAAACTGTAGTTTTTTGTTTATGTATTATTATTATTATTATTATTATTATTATTATTATTATGTGCATAATCTAAGGCTTTTTACAGCCATATATTTGAAATAAATGTAAATAGTAAACATGTTGCTGCCTCATGAATAGCTTCCAGTAGGTGGCGCAGTATGTCAGTTAAATTATCAACCTCTGAAAAGAAGAGTTTTGGATGGAGATTCCCATCCTTTTTTGGACTAAGGCACACTTAAGTGAGGTAAACATTTCCAAGACACAATTATTTTTTACCATCTTCTGTAGCTTATAAATGTCACGGCGATAGGCGTACAACACTTATGATGCATACTTTCTAGTTAAATCACAATTTTAACTTATTTCTACTCAAGCACTACATTCAACTCTAGCAGCCCTGAAGTCACTTGTTTGAAGCACACTTTGAGTTGACTTGAATCACATCCCTCTGCCATGAACACTGGATACAATCACCGCTGTACACCTATCAGTAGAAAGCTGACAACTAAACTTTATCTCCAGTAAACCACTTAGACCTCAATTTAATAAGCTTTCAAAAGATTTAGTTCTGTTAGAAAAGCTTTACAAAGTTTTAAACTACAGTAGTCATTATTAAAGTGTATTGGATTTTTTGTAGATAAATCAATTGGAATTGTTTTCTAGCCACATTGAGTAGTTTGGGAAGCTTATTACGTTTATACATAACTCTACTGAATATGTATAGCACTCCAATAGAAGACTAAGGTAGCTCTATGTATGGGTGGCTGACACTTAATTGGTGAAATGTCACTGAGGAATTTGCAAATCAGAGGATAATGTTTTTAAATATTTGTATAGAAATGTATTTAATGCATTTTTAACTTTTTATGAAAAGAGGCATCCTTGTGTAACTAAGCTCCAAACTCCCATTTGAACTCATTATCACATTATTTTATTTTGTGCCGGTTGTCAGTGTAATAAATGTAATAAAACAAAATACAACTAATTCTTGTTTTCTAAGTCATTTTGATTTCCAATCTGGCTTTTTATTTAGATTTCTATCCTAGAATTTTATTATTTTATACCACATTCTCATTAAGAGACATTCACGTACATTCAATGTATGTTTTAAAAATAAATTCCAGGCTTCATTATAAAATGTTCATAATGCAAAGCAATATATCTGATTAATGGAGAAATGAATGTCTTACAGTTTCATAGCTGCATTGTTTTCTTGTTAATAACCAAGTATGCTTTAGTGATAGCCAGGAGAGGTAACAATAGATCTGTCTATGTTTGTAACGAGAACCATGGATTTGGGAATGTTGTATATTTTGTTGGATAATATATTTTATTATACAATGACATTCTTTCAAGACCTTAAAGGACCACTCTAGGCACCCAGACCACTTCAGCTTAATGAAGTGGTCTGGGTGCCAGGTCCAGCTAGGCTTAACCCATTCTTTTATAAACATAGCAGTTTCAGAGAAACTGCTATGTTTATGAATGGGTTAAGCCTTCCCCCTAATCCTCTAGTGGCTGTCTCATTGACAGCCGCTAGAGGCGCTTGCGTGATTCTCACTGTGAAAAATCACAGTGAGAGCACGCAAGCG